GGTATTTGTTTAAAATGCACATCTCAGTCCTCATTCCAGACCCACAAAACCTGATGCGAACAGACATTTTAAGTAGACTCTCCAGGTGATTACCAGGCATATACGGAGAACCATTGCTTAAGGCCCAGTTCAAATACCACCTCCTCTCTGACACCTGCACTGATGTAACTGATGGACAGAGTTCCCTCTTCACAACTCCCAGAACCCCATCTCACGAATGGCACGTACGCTACCATGCTCTAATTATATAGTCTCATCTTCCCTACTACACTCGACTACTACAAATGTCGGAGAAGAGATGGAAGGAAAGGCAAAACAGTTTTATAGGGAAATGTCACATCTTACGGTTTTTGGGTCTTCCTCTTTGGCTAGTACAGTGCCTTACACACAAAAGATGCTGAGCAGCTGAATGGCAAGTCGGCTTGTATATAATAATATGCCTGGTTAGGCACACATCCTGGTTGATGCCATCTCAAAGTTCACCAACAGATTAATAACAGTGAATGTCACAAGTGTGTGCAGAGCCTGCAGAGATCGGCCTGGAGTAAACAGCCTGGAAACAGATTTTCACTCACATAGGAAAATCAGCATTAGTCATGCCACCCAGACATCCAAGCAAAGTGCAGAAAGTACACAACTCCTTGCAAACAGGCACCTAACTTATCCGGGACATACATTTCAAATACCCGTATTTCCAGCATTCCATCCTGAATGTAGTAACCAGAACAAGGCCTTGGTAAAATCTTCTCCAATCTTTCCATCCTCCCCATTCTGCCCACTGTACCTCTGTTACAAATACTTACCACACGGTATTGTACTCACTTATCTGCATGTCCTTGTATACTGTGCTATTCCCAAAGGCAAAGACAAGGCTTATTTTGCTTTTCTACAGCCTTAGAAGGAATTCAAGAAAAATGTGACAGACAAATGAACAACAAAGAATGACTATTAAAACTGGAAACTGTTCATGTACATATTTACAAGGTTTTTCCCAAAAGAGTCCACTTTTAAATTTGAACAAAAGGTAAGGAAAGAGATTCCATTTTTTAAAAGTTATTTTCCACTACAGGGCTTTTTCTATCCCCTGGCCTATGTGCAATCTTTTAAATTTCACAGGGGCTCAATAAATGGTAAATTCCTTTCTGGCATGATCACAGCCTACTGTCACCCCTGGTGATGGTTTGATATGTTTGTGCTCCACATATTAGCTGAAAAGACATTAGCAGCCTGAGTCAGCTCAACGGGAAATAAGAGTGTAGTGTTCGGGGACATGACTCAGTCCTGCCCTCAAAACATCTCCTCCAGGAAAAAACAATCAAATCATCACGACAACAGTAACCACCCACATCACAATTACTAAATCTAAGAAGTCTGAAAGGAAGGGTGAAGACACTATAAATTAAAGAAGAAGAAATAAAGTAAAATTCTATAAGCCATGTGGAAGAGCCTTATCTTATTCCAGGAAAAAAAAAAAAAAAAAAACTACATCAATGCCATAGTCAACTTAAATGTGTAATAAAGTGTTTTCGCTGACTATTCATATTAGCAATCTTATTTCACTCTTTTAATTAAATGCCTTCTGGGGCGCCTGGATGGCTCAGTCGTTAAGCATCTGCCTTTGGCTCAGGTCATGATCCCAGGGTCCTGGAATCGAGCCCCGCATCAGGCTCCCTGCTCAGCGGGAAACCTGCTTCTCCCTCTCCCACTGCCCCTGCTTGTGTTCCCTCTCTCGCTGTGTCTCTCTCTGTCAAATAAATAAATAAAATCTTAAAAAAAAAAAAATTAAATGCCTTCTATCACAGGCGATAACACACATGATGGCTGGGCCCTTCTATAGGCGTAACGAATAAAAGAGAACAAAGAGAGCTCTGTTTGCTGTCGTTTGTTTCATTTGGTTTCATTTCTTCATTCTGTGTTGGACACAATCATTTAATTGAAATGGATTTCTAGCCACTTCAAAATCACACAATTTACTATCTGGGTATAGCACAGCATGGTTCCTTTCTCGGGCTCTGTAAATGGGGATGATACCAGCATCTACATCGGAGCCTTGTTCTCAAAGCTAAACGGAAGAAAGTTTCCAGGGCCTTCAGTGAGGTGCTGGCCCACAGGAAGGGCTCAAGCGTGGCAACTAGTATCACGGTCCCATCACGGCTTCTTTGGTTTCCAGTTACCTCAGCACTTACCTGCACTTCTATGAGACCTTTAAAGAAGGAGATCTACAGCCACCAATTTCAGTGTTTCTTGGAAGTTCTATTTTTTTTTTTTTTTTTTAAGTAGGCTCCATGCCCAGCGTGGAGCCCAACGCGGGGCTTGAACTCAAGACCCTGAGATCAAGACCTGAGCTGAGATCAGGAATCAGATGCTTAACCCACTGAACCACCCAGGGGCCCCTGGAAGTTCCATTTTACCAGGCAGGGGAGGGGGAGATGGGAGGGAAGAAAATGTCGGAGAAGAGATGGAAGGAAAGGCAAAACAGAACTAGAAGGATGAGGCGTGCAGTCTGCCTTTCTCAAGGCCACAGGAACTCAGAAAACAGAAAATGAGCTGTTCTTACAAATAATGCCTGTGCTTAGTGATTGCCAGGCACACATTTAAAAAATTTTTAACTCCAGATGTCAAAACACATCCCAGTCTGAGAACACAGAGCAGAACTCTGTCACAATAACTTCAAGTTCAACTAGCAAAGCCCACACAAAATTTCTTTTACAAAACCATCTCTTCCTCCTTTTCTTGTCTCCCTCTCTTGCAAGATATTTAATTTAAATTTTATCTGTACAATTCCCCACCAACTTAAAGCACATTCTATCACGAGTGTGAACCTCTCAAACATATCTGCATCTTAGATGCCCTAGTTTGGTTTTGTTTAATTTTTTTTTTCTTTCACTTTGTCATTTCCTTCAAGAATACTTGACATGGCTAACTGTATAACAGCAGTCTCATTAATGAGCAATAATGACTTGGAAACCTTTTTCAGATAACTGTATTTGGCCAATTACTGTATGAATAAACACCATAAAAACCCATCAAGGATACTGGAAAAGATACAAGGAAGCACAATTCCTAGTGACAACTGATATGTAAGCTGATCATCCCGACCGGCTTGCTCAATTCTGGCCCCTGACAACACACACTCCTGGGGGGAAGCCTGGGATTCCTTGAACTCTTCTAAGAAGCAAAACAAAACAAACAAAAACACCACAGAAGTATTTGGAACTAGCTCCTACTCAGGAAGAGATTAAATCTTACATGATTGCTTCCAATATTTTGTGTTTTCTACTAGATGTATATATGCCTATTAGGCTGATTGTCCTGTTGTCTCTTACTATATATTCTTAATTTTCTTTTTCCTTCTAAAATCACTCAAACCAGAATCACAGATACTAAGATGACTAAGATCAAAGAGGTAATCGAGTTCCAGTTAGTTAGAAATCATTCCTGTGATAGGCAGGACAGCCTCTGTTTAAATATTTTCTTTTTAAGGGGACTCTCTGTTGAGAAATGGCTCTAACCATTGGGGAAAAAAATTAAAAACAACATCAGCGATTAATTTTAGCCCAGATTTACTGTGTGCCAGACCCTGTGCTAACAGGCATGTTACATGTATCACCTCAATTAATCCTCATAATGAAACTTTGAGGGAGGTATCATTGCGTCCATTCTAACTATGAGAAAGACTCACAAGGGTTAAGCCACTTGCCCAAAGACACACAGCTGTCAACTGACAGAAAACCTAAGACAGATACCCAGGCCCAAGCCTCACAACTTTTATTCATAGCCCCTAATAATGTGACCTCTCTGTCCCTCTTCTCTAGGTCAGATCTTCAAATATGTGAAAACCATCCAAGAAGCATCTGGCACTGCCCTACGCTTTCCCCCAGCCTTCCTTGCCAGAATGGAGAGGAATCTGTGAGCTGAGTCCAGGCTCCTGCAGACAGAGGTTACCTATGAGGAAGAAGGGAAAGCCAGCCTCCGGTCTCACAAATCTTGCACTTCCCTGCACCTCATCTCTTCTGTCTCACTCCAACCTTAATCTCCAACCCCATGACTTTACCTGCGGTCTCTCCACATTTCTTAGTCACCCAGAGGGCCTGCTCTTCTCCATTCTGCTGCATGAGGCCCTGTGCCCAACCCTGAACCAGAGCCACTGCCCTCCAAGGCCAGAGAGCAAATGTCCTACTATGGGAAGTGGGGAGGGACTCAGGGCAATCCACATCAGCTCCCCTCCCCTTACTGCTTACGCAGTGAGCTCCTGCTCAAACACCCAATCCTGACCACCTTCCCAGGGAGGATTTATACTCTGAAAGAGTATTTTTTAATTACATTCAGATAGTGATTTAAAAAAAAAAAAGCTCTGAAATTAAGTTCAGAAATACTCATTTTTATTAAGCAACGGTCCTGCAGAGAAGAGCTGTAAAGATCTTTCTCAAGTACCTGCAGATACAGGTAGGATTTAATGAGAGGCCTCATTTTCCCACTTAACCTCAGTCAGGTGGCACTGCCAACAGCGAGGACAGCAAACAACACAACTTTATAGGTCTGAGTATTCTTCTATTGTATTTTGTTGTATTTTCAGAAATATCTTGAATTTGGGGCACTATTATAATGAAATAAGAACAAAAAAGGATTATACATTGGCCTTGTTCTTAAATAGTTTGGAGGACAAACTGCACTCAGGTGATATGCGTCAACTGCCTATGGGCAATTGCAAAGCAACATATCAAAAAATTTGAAATTAAGAAGTACAAGTCCAAGACTTAAATGTTAACAAGGAAAATTTCCAAACACAAGAAGTCTTTACAAAATTAGATGTGAGAAATTAAGTTTTTCCAGAGTTAAGTGTCAGAGATAAGTCTGGAGGGCAACAGGAGGAAAGAAAGATGGTGAGGCGATCCCCACACGGGTATGTAAATGCATATGAAAATGAGTATGCAAACGAAGGTAAAGAAGAAAGTCTTTTTTAAGAGAGCCTATAAATAAAATGTTGGATTCTTTTCTACCTGAATTTACCAGTTGCTGTTCCATCACCCCGCAGCCAAGCACTTCTAGCCATTCTCCATGAAAGTTGATCTCCATCTCAAAGGAAGGATGAGTAAAAGGAAAGTAGCAGTCTACCCATCTAATGTCCAGTCCTGAAAAGATGCCAAATAAAAACAGATAGTGTTAAAAGGCAGTCTATCCTTCCTTATGATCAAGCTTGCCCTTCCGCTAATGACAACAATTACGACATTCTGAGTAAAATAAATAGCAAACAAACTCATTTGCAACACGTTAGGGGGAGGTAATAAATCTTAAAACTTGTGAAAAACTGGGCATGTCTTTTTCAATATGAAAAACACTTTGTGCAGCTCCAGGACCCTCTAAAACCAAATCAGTCACTTGTCAAATCCCTGCAAACACCTGGCAGAAGGAAAAAAATTAGGTAAGATCATGGGAAAGCTGGTGATTCTGTTAGTTCTATAAGTGAAAATGATATCTTTTCAGAGTTAAAGAAAAAGGAGTTTTACTATATATGCTGCAAACTTACTTATCAACAATATGACCAATATAGGATAAACTAACCAACTTTTACTTCTGTAAGTATATATATATATATATATTTTAATTAAGTTTATAAGAACAAATAAAAAACTAAGATCAACTAAATGTAAGCAAAACATCTGGAAAGTCAAATTTTTTTTCTACAGAGGAATGACAAATATTCACACATCTAAACAAACAAGTAAATGCTAGAATGAATTTCTCAATAAGCAATCTTGAACATGGCACTCATAAATAATATTATTATTAATTAACAAAGGAAAAGACTAATGAATTAAAAACAATTAAAGCCTGCAAAGAGCAGACGTTACTAACAGCAGAAAAAGCAGACGCGAAGGTCACGTGGTAGCTAGATACCCACCATGAGGAACACAGAAAAGTGGGCAGCTGACGAATCATCTACGGTCTCCTGCCCTGGCTCCCTTCACTTTGTGTAATGATCTTTCTGTTCTTTAAGCAAACGCTCCTGATTCCATTTCTCCATGGTAACATGACCTCCTACGAACTGAGAATACTGTCTTTTCTCACCCAAGACTATCTGCATTTTAAACCTTGTGGGAATCAGAATGTGAAATGAAAAAAATAAAAATAACAAAAATTGCTTCCATTTATTGAGGACTCTGTCAGCCCACCTCACAGGGAAAAAGATGAATAGATAGCTCAAGTGTAGAGGCACAGAGCTAGCAGATGACTAGGCCAAACCCAGGTCGGCCTGACTCCAAAACTCACGCTCTTGACAATTAAAATATAATTCCTGCCCATCAAAATAAGGTATTTCAAGAATCAAAAAGCACATGAGAACAGGGGCACCTAGGTGGCTCAGTAGGTAAGCATCTGCCTTCGGCTCAGGTCAGGATCCCAGGGTCCTGGGATCGAGCCCCACATTCGGCTCCCTGCTCCGCAGGAAGCCTGCTTCTCCCTCTCCCACTCCCCCTGCTTGTGTTCCCTCTCTCGCTGTCTCTCTCTCTGTCAAAAAATAAATAAAATCTTTAAAAAAAAAAAAAAGCACATGAGAACAGAATTATGAAACATGGGGACCTTCCCTATGCCCCAGATGACAAGGGACAAGGTAGGCTTTTCTTTCATTGTTCTAAGAACATTTTAGTTGCCTTATTTTCCTACTTACCTGCTATCTATAGCAAGTGACAACTGATTTCTGTTACACCAGTAATACCGTATTTCCCCCTCTTGTTATACATGTGCTGTAACAAACGTTACACTGAACATAAAATACAGTGCACAATTTGACAAACATTAACATGTATACAACCATGAAACTGTCACCACGATCAATATAATGAATATATGCATCAACCCCAAAAGTTTCCAAGTGCCCTTTAGTAACCCTACCCACCTGCCTGTTGCCCCCACCTCTTCTCCTCATCCCCACAACCCCAGGCAACTGCAGATCTCCTTTCTGTCCCTACAAAGGAGTCTGCATTTTCTAGAATTTTATAACAATGCAATCATACAGCATGTACTTTTTTTTCGGTATGGCTTCTTTCACTCAGCAGAATGATTTTAAGATTCACCCATGATTCACATATCATTAGTGTCTTTTTTTTTTAAAGATTTTATTTATTTATTTAAGAGAGAGCGCTTGCACTCAAGAGAGAGCACGAGCGGGGAGGGGGGGGGCAGAGGGAGAGGAAGAAGCAGGCTCCCCGCTAATAGATCATGACCTGAGCCAAAGGCAGATGCTTAACCAACTGAGCCACCCAGGTGCCCCTAGTTCCTTCCTTCTTATTACTGAATAGATTTCGCCAACAGCTCTTCTAATGGGGGGTGAAAAAGTTGGTCCTATTGCAGGCCACTGGAGAAGTGTCTTAGGTCCCCTGAGTAGTTCTGACTTTTCTGTACGGAAGCCACTAGGATGCAGAGCAGGTGCTTATTTGCCACTATGTTCTGAGAAGAAGGTATCAGTACACCTGTGTGTTTGTCCATCTTTGGGACCAACAATCCCCTACCATATTTTTATTAAAAAGCTGCAGAGGCAGTCCTGCTGGTAAACAGAAATGTGTGAAGCACTGGGATATACAACTGAGTGCCGACGGACCAGCAGATAAAGCATTTTTATCATTCTTTTTTGTAACTCCTGCCAGATAAGCACAAATCACCTAGCGAAAACAATTTAGAAAAACCAATTTTGTTTACATGACTTGGATCAAATTCTACCAAAAGCAAGATGAGTACTCAGGGTTAACAGGATGATTCCATCATGACATAATTAAACATCACCTGGAACAGAGTTAGGTGAGGTCTACACAAATGAATTTTTCTTGCATATCCTTATTTTATTCCTTTGGACAAGCTAAATGCATACAATTTAGGGTTGTTTTTTTTAAGATTTTATTTATTTATTTGAGAGAGAGGCAGACAGAGATAGCAACAGAGATAGTGAGAGAGAGCACAAGCAGGGAGGACACAGAGAAGCAGGCTCCCCGCTGAGCAGGGAGACTGATCCCAGGACTGAGATCATGACCTGTGAGCCGAAGGCAGATGCTTAACCAACTGAGCCACCCAGGCACCCCACATAGAATTTAGTTTACATAGCTTTATATCTCACACCTGTAAAACCTTAAGTCCCTACCCCAAGGAGAAAGATTATTTCAGATATTACTAAGCCCTGAAAATAATCACGTGTTGATTAAAGTAATTCTATTATCAATTTGTATTAAGCTCAAACTAAATCCCTACTGCATAAAGTCTATGGGAAGTGAAGCCTGCATAGAGACAGGACTCTATCTCCACACACCCATCTGCGCTGCTGGTGTGATGGTGTCAAGAGAGCACAAGGACTGAACTGGAAAGTGATGTAAGGATCTCACCCCTTCTCTGGGAAGTTTTTTTTACCGAAGGGTTTTGGCCACTTCTAGAAGTAGGAAAAACGATAACTTTGGAATAACATGTTTTTAATGTTGCATAAATTCTTTTTTTTTTAAAGATTTTATTTATTTATTTTTTTTTTTTAAAGATTTTTATTTATTTATTCATGAGAGACCGAGAGAGAGAGGCAGAGGGAGAAGCAGGGTCCCAAGGAGCAGAGAGCCCGATGCGGGACTCGATCCCAGGACCCTGGGATCATGACCTGAGCCAAAGGCAGACGCTTAACCATCTGAGCCACCCAGGCGCCCAGATTTTATTTATTTATTTGAGAGAGAGAATGAGACAGAGAGCATGAGAGGGGGGAGGGTCAGAGGGAGAAGCAGACTCCCTGCTGAGCAGGGAGCCCGATGCGGGACTCGATCCCGGGACTCCAGGATCATGACCTGAGCCGAAGGCAGTCGCTTAACCAACTGAGCCACCCAGGCGCCCCAATGTTGCATAAATTCTTAAGATCAAATGTCCATATATTGGTTGCATCAACCCTTGCTGTTTTTTGGTTTCAGACCTCAGTCACCCTGGCCCTGGGTTTCTTCTTGCTCAAGTGCCCCCAAAGGTATCTATCAGAAACAAGGAAAGTAATTGCAGAATACGTGAAGATGATTAGTATTACTCACTTGTGGAGCAGAACCCATTAATAATAATATCACAGAAACTAAGAAAACACAGATTGGCAAAAGTTACATCCAATGCATCTAGAACATTTGTAATCCTCTTCACCTCCTTGGATCCTTTGTTAAAAGTTTCCTTTTTAAATCTACATGACCTTGCAAAGAATGCAAAGCCCATACACCATTTATTCTCTTTGTTCCACTTCTTTAAAGACTTCAGTTCTTCAATTCTGCTTCCTTCACAACAACAGGCAAGAGCCAAAATCTATGAAACCCCAGTTTGGGGAAGCCTGTAGCTCTACTTCAAACATAAATGGTCCTTATTTGAAAGTAAATTCTATTAGTTAATGTGTAATTTTTGCCAAAACACCATATTTTCTATATTTTCTAACAATTTAAATTCCAGTTACATTGACACATTAACAGTAATTCTTTTAAATCACTACTAGTGGAATCATTTATTGAATACTTTTTTTTTTTTAAGATTTTATTTATTTGTCAGAGAGAGAGCACAAGCAGGGGGAGTGACAGGCAGAGGGAGAGGGAGACTCACTGCTGAGCAAGGAGCTTGACGGGGACTTGATCCTAGGATCCTGGGATCATGACCTGCTGAAGGCAGACGCTTAACCGACTGAACCACCCAGGCATCCCTTATTTAATACTTTTATGTAACACCCAAAATACGCTTTCTTCATGTTTTGTCCCCATAACCTCAAAACTATAGTAAGGATTAATATATTGGGTTTAAAAAGCAACTTGACATACAGCTTATATTAAAAGATGTGATACTGAATAGCCAGCTAAAAACTTAGTATGGCTTAATTCACATGCCATGTACCAGGAGTCAGTAAAAAAATCCACTTAAAACTATGTATTTTGTGTTACATATTAATAGAGAAAAATTTTTTTAAAACATGTCCAAATCATATAGATTCATTATGCATTAGACCAATCTCATATTGGGATGATAGAGGGAAATTAAATGCACAGGTGTTATATATCTAATGGAAAATAATGCCAAAGTTTTTTCTTTTGTTCTTTCTTCACTTGGTTGGTTGGTTGGTTTGGACGGAATGATTTACTAAACCATATTTATA